AATGGACAGAATAAATATGTGATATGAATAAACAGCTTTTTATTTCTTCAAACCTTTATTCCTCCAGGAGACATGTTTTAACATAACATGCATGACCTCTCACCCGGACTGTTTGTGAAGAATTTCCTGTTTTATTTTGGTACTTTCTTTTCTTGTCTTTTCCTTGCCCTACACTTAATTGTCTACCTGCCCCTGGTGTTCATCATAGTTGACCCTGTGTATTTATACTTACTGCACCTCTGCACCAGATTTTCTTTGTTCTCTTATATGTTCATTACTCTGCAGCATTTTTTCATTTGTTTGGCTTCACTTTCGGGGAGGAGCCAAACCATCCATCTTCATGCACAGTCAGTGGTTCTTATCAGTATTGTTACAGCCACACCTGAAAAGGCCATTACTCAGCGGCTAAGACCACACACACTATTGTCACATTTTTCAAATCAGAAAAATATTATTTTGTTACGCTGGTTGCTGAATTGAACAATTTAATGCTCCTCTTTTATGAATTCTAAATGTTTTCAATCTACTGGTCCCAAAAATGAGTTTGAGGCTGATACTAGTGTTTGGAGATTCTTTGTTGCTGCATTCTGTCTTCTCCTCCATTCATTTTTGCATCCTCATTAAAGCAACAATAAAAGAGTTTTAGGATAAATGACTGCTATTTGTAGATTTATTTTATGTTAAAACATTAAATTATAATGTCCTCCATGCAACTTCTGTTTGAGGCAAATACACAGATTTACATAAAAAAAACAAGTGCCTTAAATAATGATACAGTAAAATTTGATAAAAACATAAACCATGAGGGATAAAAATGTAGTAATTGCACCTCATTATGAAGAGATGGGAAATAAAAACAATGCTAAAAACATGAGATTTTAGAATTCTCTTTTAAGACTGTTAAACTGGGGGGTAAATCCAAAAGCAGGGTTTGTACTACAAAAACAGGATTTTGATTTTAATGAGCATTATTTGTACACTAGCAGGAAATGAGATGACAAGGGAAAATGTTTTCTTGTATCTGATGCCTCTGAGATCTTCTCTGTATTAGCGCTGCGTTTGAGTTCCCACTTAGTTTGTTTGGGATTTAAGGGATGAGAAATGTATTCTTATTTGATTTGGGATTTGTGGATTGGGCTTGTTTTTGGCAATGTATTGAAAACAAAGAATTATGTTATCTGCATATTTATTGAAAGTTATTCTAGACTCTAAATGTCTTCCAAAAAAGCATGTTATTAATTTAGGTAATTTAAAGCTGTTTACTGAATATTTCATGGAGTCTTGTGTAAATTACAAGTGTGGTTGTTGCCTGATGGAAAGTTAGGTTAGGATGTTCATGATTCCAGGAAAGTAAGAAGACGTGTGGTCTCTACTGAGTGAAAAGAATGAATAAGTGGAGTACAGCCACAAACAATATTGAGCATAAGTAGCAAAGTATCTTAAAATACACAAATCTCAACAAAACTAAATTCCAATACTTACCAGAAGTTTAAACTATTAAAATTAATAAAAAATATACATCAAATGATCACATCATGTAATTTTGTAGGATCCTGAACTAATTAGGTGGACACATTGTTTTATTTGTGAACTGGCTCAATGATGAATTATCAATAATACTAATAATGTAACAAAAATGTATGTACTGGCTCAGTTACGTCTGATTTATCTATGTAGTATGTTTGTAAGTAAGAAGATAGAATATCCTCCTTTTGGACCAGTCCTTGAATCTATCACGGTCTCAAGGTGTCTACAGCCAATCAATCTTTAAATGGGTGAAACCAAGTTGAAGGGGGAACAAGTGAAAAACTGGGAGATAGAAAACACTGGTTTACAGTGTGGTGAAGTTTGTAAAGTGACAGTTGTTTCACTAAGTGATACTTAAGAAGTTCTGCGTTGTTTTTTAACTTTTAAATATGAAGGTGAGGCGGTTGAGCATTTTTCTGTAGATTATTGAACTATTCTGCAAACTGTTTAAACTCCCCCAACACGTGGCGCTTGTTACCTGCAGCCTTGACAAGAGACTGCAAGATCAACGTTTAGGAGTTCTTATCTGCACAATGCAATCATATAGAGGAGGAAATAATTCTGGTTTATTATTGTTAGTGCATTTCTAGTGTATTTTGGTATGAGCTATCCACACTGCTGCAGTAGCTGGAGACGCAAGGTGCCTTCCTGTGTTGAATACAGCTGCAGGTTGCCAAGTAATGGTGAGTACCAACCATAAACTGGAGATGAAAAAACAAACCTTTTGTTTTTCTGCATACTTGAATTATATATGAAGCAGGTTTATACTGATACTTGACAAAAGCTTTGTCCTGCCTTTATGGCTTTTATAAGATATTATTAATCCTGAAGGAAATTACTGTGTGGCTGCCTGCTCCAATATTCACATCATATAGTGAATACAACAATAAAACATTAAGTAAAAATGAAAAAAAATAGTATAAAGTGTATTATAAGTGAAGTAAAGCAGGACCAGTGCTTAAATAGAACTAACAATATAAATGAGAATAGAATAACTAATAAAGCTATATATACTCATACTGCAAAATAAATGTGCCACATAAATGAATGGATCTGTAATCTTGATATAATAAGTGTTCAGTTGAGTACTATGTGATTAAGTATACTTTGCTTACTGGAACTGTATGTGCTCACTGGTGACAACTTTCAATTCTACAAACCTGTGCAAACCCCTGTACTTCATTTAACTTATAACTGCTGCTGACACCGTCTCTTGTAGGTACACGCTGGTATAGACACTTTGTGGTCAACATTTCAAATGCACCTTACCAACCAGTTTACCAGAGCTAGGTCAATATGTGACCTAGCGCTTCCATAAATCATGTTTGCTTCCATAAATGACATGACACACAATTTGTTCCCCCTGCCTGCATGCAGTCAGACATGGGTGAACACCCCCCCCTCCCCTTTGTCGTCTCCTGTGCATGATACAAACAACGTAACATTTCAGTCTGGCTTTACTGATAGGTCGAGCGGGCATGCAGTAGGTGAAGCTGATAGTGAGCGTCCTCTGCTGGATCACGAAGCAAACTTTTTCAGTTGGTGTGATGCGCTTCTAGACTAAATACTTTGAATTCAAACCGGTCATTACAGTTCGATATAATAGAGTGGAGGCAGGACTTACCCTCAACAACTTCCCTCTTCACCACAGAAGTTTCAACTTGTTTTGCAGCAGTCAAACCATGTCGGTTTAACTTCACATTATGTGTGCAACTTTTCTTCTGCTTGTCTATTCAGCTTCACCTCGAATATCAAAGCGTGCTAAGCCAGCTGATGATATAGCCACAGGCTGTTTCAAACTGTAGGACTTTGTTTTTTTCTTCAGCTCTGAAATCCTTGAAAATCCTTTGTGTGATGATGGGCAAATGCAACAGAAAAGTGGACGTGAATGGAAAGTTAAAAGTAACTCATAGATTTCGAGTGATGCATTTTGTTAACTTCATTGTTATGTTGATCATGTAAGCAAATCCTTCGCACCTCTGGAGGTAAATTAGCTGACTTTTTTTTTTGCACAGCAGATTTCTAAGGTGATTATTGTTTAAAGGAGATAATGATCTTTTTGAGGGTTACCCGAGTTGTGTTCAAATGTAGCTATTTAAGGTGGATGGATTAAGGTCTTCGACACCAATTTTGCAGTGTTGTTGCCAAGCATCTCTTAAAATGTAATAAAAATATGTGGGCCACTGTCAGATGTTGGATTTGGTAAATACACTTGCAGTTGGTAACTTGTTTTTAATTTCTTTTAGGTGTCTTCTATCAGTGAATGAAAAACATTATTTTTATTGTACATATAATGTTTTTAATTTAGAATGTAATTAAATTGCTTATTGGCCTGCTGGTTTGCCAAAGCACACACAACAAACATGATATTTTATTCATTTTACATTTCACCTGGCCAAAAGAACCTCTTTATTTGTTTTTGAGAGCAGCATTCATTAGGGTCACTGCCCCTGCAATTCAGCACAACACAGGAATATCACAGCCTTTGTGCCCTCTGTTTGGCTTGCTGTGTTTGTGCAATTTTCCTCCAATGGTGGCCTCTATGTTTGTCACCCTTATCTCCTTTTGACCAGGCCACTGCTTACAGGCCAATCTCTATAGAAACCTATGACTGACCTGAGCTGCGAACAGACTTGAAAGACCTGTGGAGCTTGTCAGGACCCTGAACCCACAGGCTACCTCTCGACTTTGCCGAAGGCACACGCTGCCGCTCGCTCGTGATACACCAGGGTGCTGCAATTGGAAGATATAACGTATACGATAAATACTGAATAATAAAATGCTTTTTGATGGGTGGATGAGAATCCAAGACAATGAAACCCACTGAAGTGTCAAAGACCTTGTTCCTGCTTGGAATTGTAGACACACATATTAACCAGTGGATGCTACTTGACATTAAGGAAGTGCCATTAATACTGGAGTACATCATGAATCCCATTGTACATACTAATTCTGTAATTCAATGTGATTATTTTAAAGCTGTGCTGGTCCATTATTTGTTTGCTGATGGGTAGGGATGGGGGCAGTGGGTTTCACATAACAAAAGGCACTGACCTCATTCTCAACCATCTGAGCTGTGCAATGAGCCCTATATCAGCCCCGGAAGCATATTTCAAGAAAAGTTTTTCCCCAGCTTTGACATTAGATTTCTTAGGGATTTTATTTTGTATTCAAATTGAATAAATGTTTAATAGCAAAAGCAGTAGAGCTGCATGGAGATTAATGACAGCTTGGCAGTGCATTGGCTGGTGAATTAGTATTCTCCTTCCTCTGGGCTCTGTCCGTCTCCTGTCTGCTAGAGAGATGATAGGTCCTGCTCTGCCGACAGGGACATCCCTGAAAATGTGACACTGCTGTCTCTGTGTGAATCGTTAAGATCAGTTTGGACTGTTTGCATTGTCTATTAATGTCAGTGACTCACTTGGCAGCATATGCATTTGTCACTAAAGGGTTTCATCCTATGGTAAGTAAGCTAGTGACAAAGCAAAGTGCATGAAAGGATAATAAGGAAATACTTCATTGGATAGTATTGTGGCTGTAGTTGCTGGTTTTAGCTTTGTTGCTTAAAACTGAAAAGATAAAATACCTTTTAGTATCATATAAACTCAGCTGTCAGGCATAGTCTTTGTTTATTTCGCCAGTTTCATAATGAAACAAAAAAAACACTAACTTGATGTCTTTTGCATTGCCTTACTGTATCTCTCTCTCAAACACGTTGAGCCATCTGTCTTAATCATGCTGGCTATCGGCAGCACTGGAAGAGATCTCGCAATGTCGGTGGCGATCAAAGCATCCATAAATTGTTTCAGTGTCCACAGCAGAAAGACAGACACTTTCCTATCACTGGTAGTAGGGGTGCTCCGATAAATCTGCCACTGGTCGGTATCGGCTGATATTCCCTCTAATTAGTTTGATTGGTGATCTCTGTCACTCATTAAGTTCAACTCTCAACAGAAATAAGATGGAATTGATATTTGACGTTTTTCATTCCTTGATTTTTTACAATGTTGTTCATATAGATAAATAAATCATGCTACATGATGCATAGAAGGCTTTAAAATTAAGATCCAATTGCTCAGACAGCATTCAGCAATGCATCCTGGGCCACATTAAAGGACTGTATACACACCTGACGTGCTGTATGTACACATTAACCATGCTTTCTGATCACCATTTGCTTCTCTGTGAGGCAAATGACGTGTTTGTGCTCTTGTTTAAGCAGCAGATGTTTGTGTTCCGCAATATCACCAGACTCCCTTTAAAATGGTGCATGTTTGAGTGTTGTTGAATGACAAGAAAATGTATAAATTTTGAAACGCTGTCTGCGACTGATTCTTAATTATTTGAGCCTTCTTGTAAATTGTTCCAGTGTGTTGGCTCAGTCGTGTTTTGGTCTGTTAAAACGCAATGCATTGCTTCGCAAACGGGATTATGTACATGTCTATTTGCATGTAGAGCAGGGGATTCTATCACAAGTGGTCTGTCTGATCGGTTGTATAACCTCCTCTACTGCGGGAAATCACTTCCTTTATAGTAGTTCAACAACATATACTAATACAATCTTACCAGTTAATTGCTTAGAGAACAATGTAGGGCTGCATGTGTACATTTTTTATAGATCCAACTCCACATTTACCATCAGGCAATCTCAGTGCCGCTAGTTCAAACTGAACTCTTCTCTTGGGAGTTAAGCCCTGTTATACGATTTACTGGACCGGATCCTTGAGGGAGAGTGTCTGTTGGGTACTACTGCATATTTCTCCATTATGATCTCCCTCTGAAGGCTCAAAGCTCAGGTAGTGAAGGACACAGAGAGAAAAAAATTGTGGGACTGTCATGAGCACTGCCTACATTTTCTGACCAGAGGAAACACACTGTGGACTGTCCTCAAAGTCTGCCCCACAGCATCATAATTCTGAAGGTATTAGCTTGATCCTCAAACTTGGCTTGTCGCGAGGAATGGGTGTGGGGACTGCAGTGAGGAGGCTGCGAAAATACAGATGCTGTTCTGAGCTTTGTCTTATAAGAACTGCCACCTTGAAGGTTTGGTGGACTTAAATGGCAGCATGCATTACAGAAACAAGGATTGTGTAGGCCTAACAGAAATGCTTGTTTGGCCTTTTCAATAAAGACTTTGAGGCAATGGAAAAGAGGCAAAACAAACATTAATCCCAATCAGTGTGTCTTGACTAAGCAAACACTTTACCTGAGGATACCGTGTTTGAAGGGCTGATTTAATACATACACACACCTCAGGAAGAAAACTGGCCTGTAGCTCAGCTCGCTCAAGCAGTCCAAAGAAGGCAATATTTTGTAAATGAGCTTTACTCCCCAACCATTAAGGCTGTGGTTTCTCTTTGACTGAGGACCTTAATAGCCTCCTGCTTGGGACAGGTGCTGTGCAAATTGCCTTCCCTAAATGATTAATGAGGGAAGCTCTGTTCCTGTTGTGGCTAAGACTGAGGTCTGTGATGAAAGTAGGACATTTTCTTCACACACGATGTGGAAATGATGGAGAAAAAGCAAATGCACAAAGAACTACGGTCCAGAAGGAGATAATGACTTTTGGGACTCATTAATAGCTTTAAGCATCATATGCATGAAGTGACCTCTGACTGATTTCCCCAAATCAATTCATGCACAAAGAAACTCAAACATCCCACTGAAGTAACAATAAGCAAAA